AGATATTAATATCATAGATCGGCACAGTTAAGTTGGGTAATAATAGTTAGGGAGATAAGGACTAGATGGTATGTATGGTTGTCGCCCACTTGTGTTGGTAGGTTATAATAATGAGATATAATTATGAGGACATAAAATGATGCAATATTTAGCCACCAGTGTACGTAGTTAATAATTATAAGATATATAAGGACAAAGTATGATATTACAGTGGTAGATAATAATAATTGGCTATATGAATAGTTATTATAATAAGAATTTTAATCATTTAACATACATTCATATATTTAAGTTCAAATCATGTAATGAGAGCTTCCTTTTTATAATGAATATATTGTTTGAGAGCGGTTAATACAACTTGAATGACCATACACATTTGATAAGTACTTTTAGTAGCTCCACTTATTACCAAAAGACTTAACGTCTTACTTAAATCATGCCAATACACTTAAAAATTGAAAACCATGCAAAAACTTGCCATAAAAATACATTCATGTAATTACCTAAAAGTTTTTATTTACTTCTATTTCTTTCCTTTTTAATGTATACCGCTACATACCTTCTATTTTGAATTGCAGTCTATATGCAAATGATTTAGTTTCTGAAAAAACTGTTCAAACACAATGTTATCAACTATTGTGTATTTTTGTACTTTTAATAAAAGGAAAACTTGAGATTGGGTCCTTGCTATATATATGTTAAAGAATGTCAATTTTTCAATTTTGCATTTATGTGTAATAAAACTGGTTCAGGATTCAACTTTGTTTTTGTTATTTACCATAATGATCCCTTATTTTTATTTAACAAATGTTCTTTGCAAACAGGTGCATGACATATATTTAGGATTGCCTATCATCGCAGTGTTTACCATTTATTTGAGGAAATATATGATAATATATTGGAATATATTTCTTAATTTACTTTGTGTGTCTTTGCATTGGTTTTGTTGTCTTTGCATTGGTTTTGCCAGTAATAAATTACCAGAAATTTTACTGATTGACTATCATGACTCACTAACCTTTAAATGGTTTCTGAATCATTGGATAATAGAAAATGACATAAAATACGATAAGTGTGCAAATCCTAGTTAATGATATAAAGATTACGTGCTGCAACGATACATTTTATGGAGTGCATTTTCAAAAGATTGCCTTTACGTAAATCAAAGTTAGTGACTGCTACTTACAATTGACGATATTTTTACCAAATTTATTAATGAGGATTATCATTATTTATCAAATATACTGAGGGAAGAAACGCTATCCTGAAAGCTTCAGGTAAGTGAATTACTGGCTGCAGTTATGACATCAATACTAATCGTATAATGCTGTAAAAATGAAACAGTGACTGATACTAAAGATGAATATATTAACAGAAAAGATTGCTCTAAAAAATAGGTACGTGCTGTTTAACAAATTCAATTATTATATATCAGATACATGATTGCTTCATTAATTAGGTAAAAGTGTATAACTGCTACAAATTAGTAGATTGTTCTAAAATGAGTTGGTTAAGGGTTGAGTTCATAAGAAAGGGGTCATATATTGTATACAATTCACATGAGACAGTCATCAAGAGAGTCTGGAAGGGCTGCTTCTAGATAGTGTTGTTTCGTATGGACATTCAAAGAAAAAGGGTGTTTTTTCTCGAAGTTCACTTTGCACAGTGGTGAGATTTTCTTTAAGGTTTTTTTTTTGTAAAAGCTGATGAATTCAGAGAGTAATCTATCAATTTTCGAAAAATACCTGTATAAGAAATATTTTTGGGGACTTGTCAGATTTTATTCAAAAAGACTAGTTTTTGAAAAGAAGAAATAGTGTTGGGGCATTTTGAAGATCTCCAGAAAGCTCATTTCATATCTTAAAGGCTGATTGGTGGGAGAGAAGGCATGTATAGTAGAAGGGGATGTTCTTGTTAGGATTGGCAAGACTGTACCAAAAGAAGGACAGAACTATAGGTTACTGACTATTCAGGAGGTAAATATGAAATGTTGATATAATGTAAAAATTGTATGCATGTATTTGTGAATTGATATGTAATGCATGAATTGTCTATCTGTAAAATATTTATATAGATGTTTGTTATTATATAGGTTCTTCCTTCATATGTAATAATATAGAAGTGAGGCGTTTTTGTAGCTGAACCTTCCCACGTTGTAAGTGATATGAGAGCGCGCCAGTACAAACACCAACGAGTATGGGTTTTGCGCCAGCATGGATCCAACCAGCCTGCGCATTCGCGCAATAATGTCAATACCAAGCTGTCTAACTGTTATACGGGTTTGTAAGCGAAAACAGCACATAATCATGATCAGACTGCGTGTATTGCACAGGCTATTCGATCTGGAATCCATGCTGTCGCAACCCATTACGTTGTTTGTCGGACAGACGGCTCATATGTCGCTAAATTAGACTTAGAACTTTCTAAACAGAGACATTTAATGTATTTTGCGTCTCTGATAACATTTATAAAGTGTTGGCCTCCCATATTTTTTAATGAAAACACGTACATGTCTTTAATGAAATTATGCCTATAACAGCTTAGAAAAACGTTCTATGTGTCGGTTTTAATCTACTCGCATTATGTAAAAAATTTACATGTATCAAAAAGTCCATATAAGAATCTATTTTCGCAGCAATTTTGATGTTATCATGACAGAGTTTAAATATGACTGAATGTTTAAGTTCTCATCGTGACAGGAAGAAAAAAAATATTAACATTACACCTTCTCACCATAAGGGCGGAGTTACGGGTTTTACCGTAACCTTACGGTTTCTACCGAAACCTCTTCTCGCTGGTGTCCCCGTATGTACCTACCGCTAATGGTGGGTCAATAGCGATTACCTTTATTTGTTCTATATTCTATAATTTCTAGTAAAATTATACGTTTTTAATATTGGTACAATCCACAGATAGAAAATGTAAAGCGTTATACACTTTTTATTTCCCTTTCAACGCGAATAAAACAGTTTGTTTATGTTTTGTTCCTGGCTGTCATAAAGTGGCATTATAGTCATTTAATTTATCACTGCCACTATTCACTATTTAATGACAAGTGAACATTAAACGATAGTCGTAAATATATAGATAGAAAAACATTGTATATTAACATAATTCATTTAAACTTTTTTATTATTAAACAATTTTCATGTAAGGTTTAAATGTAATAAAATGTTACGTTGTTGTTATCACAAAAACGTGATTCTTCTTATGTTGTTATAACAGCAAAAGGGGTTTTACGATGTTTTTATTTTTTTCAAGACGCCCATAAATTTAAAAGGGCCTTTTCCCTTTGGGAAACAAAAATATTTATATGTTTTTTTTAAAAACAAAGTTAGTAAACATTTTAAAATTTAAAAGATAATTTTTAAAGTTTTAAATTAAATTAAACATTGTTTTGACCTTAAGGACTGAATAACTGACATTATTTCTTTTTAAGCTATGCAATAGAAATAACAACCGATGAATTTTGCATTTTAGCTCGAATCAAGACAGACCGGGGACCTGATTAACTGGCAAACATTGTAATTTGCAATTTGCTATTGAAAACAAAATGCAATTTTAAAAAGTTCTTTGTACAAACTGTTTTTAAAAATAATCTGTACAGTTATAAAAACATATTTTATATAGAACATAATAAAGTATGTTAAACCAGGTTGCCGTCTCTGCCTTCACAATCTTCTCCACTGTCCGAAGTTGAAACACCAAAGTGTACCACAAATTTATTGTATCATGTCTATTGCATTTTCTTCTGTTTGGTTCTACTTTGTACTGTACTATTACCTCTCAAGCATTCATTGCATTGTCATTTCCATTTCTCAATTTCTCAGCCCAGGCCAAAGGAACCGTTCACGTACTCATGTCATAGTTCTGTCGCGCCTAATATTACTCACATTATTATACAGTCCAATCATTGTGTAAATTTACAATATTTAAGTACTAGTAGCTCTATTATGTCATCATTTTCATATAGTTTTCTATTAAGAAGAAGAAGAAGAAGAAGAAGAAATATTACTGGAGGTTTCCTAGCATGTTTAAATTTGTTCAGTTAGTTACAAGCGATAATGTACATGATATTAGAAATTTAGCTATGTTTATATACCATGCCTTCCATATTAGACAACAGTTACAAACAATTCTCGTGTAAAGGTACACAAATGTTTAATTTAAAGTTCTATATATATGTTTTATGCGAATCGAATATCAAGCCCCATGCAAGCGTACATAGAAGTTAATTGACACATTGCATTGTACTTCTATGTGTGCAACGTACGAATATTTGCTGTCATGTAATTGTATATAGATGTATTATTGATACATTGCAATTCTTTGTGTATTATATGTATAATAGGTTAAGTAACACGATGATTATAAAGGCTATAAATTTGTAAGTTTCAAATCATACACAGGTCTTACTTGTATCAAGTTTGAAGCATATATGTGTTCAAAGTATAGTTTAGAAGTAACATTTGTTTTATTTTGTTTGTATAATTTCAATATTTTGTGCCATATTACTATTTCAATAAATCAAAACCATATAGCTTAGATTAGTAAATGTAATACAAAGACCAGTGTATGGAAGAGAATTAAAAGTATACTATGTAATAGATGCTGACAATGTCTCTCCCGTGATTGCAAGCCTAATACATACACAAAGTATTTCTTATTATTATATATTTGATTGTAAAATCTCTCAAAAAGTAAATAACTTGTAAATTAGATATATAATCAATGGTAACCATTATAATAATGAAAGAAAAGAAATACTTGCAGTCACATCATCTTGCTATGTAATTAGTTATTTACTTATGCATACATGTTATTGTATATATTATGAATGCTTGTACATGACTCTTTTGAGAGTTAATTTGCAAAATAAAGATTCTTCTTCTTCATATAGTTTTCTATTAAGATACCTTCTTATTAAAAAATTCTTGAATTGTTTCTTCATTATTTCGTTCTCATTATTTCAAGTATATGGTGGCACAGATTTATCTATAGAAGCTTTTTTTATTTCTATTGTTACACAGGTAAATCCGATTAACTTGCAAATATTATACATTGTATATCAAAATAAATGTTAAAACATGTTCATAACATATACAAACTAAAATGAAGTATTTCGAAAAATTACAATATGCGATTCAACAAGAACGTTGAAGGACAATTGCTTCGCTATGAAGTGCCAGTCGCTTTTGGAGTCGGGCTACTGAAGTCAGCAGGCTAAGTCAGTTAAACAGTTTCATTGTGTTATTGTGAAACCGCATTTGACTTCTTCAAAACAAAATAAGAAAACGGGTTTATAAAACATATTATGTTGTCAGCAAAATAACTACCAAAGACATAGCAATATAAATACTTGATAATGATTTAAACAGCTGAAATAGCTCTTCTAGTATATTTGAAATAAAACTGACAATTTACGTATTCAGTATTGTCAGTAAATAGCAAACATCGTAAGGTTTGGCACAACCCATATTTCTTTGCCCGGCAGAATAGCGGTCGAAACATTCTACATGTATATTAACTTGATGATCTTGAAGAAAATCTTATCCACCAAACAGCATTTTACCATGAAACTAAATAAATTATTACTGTCTTACGTGTCATTTCATACATGCACTTGATTTAATCATTAGAAATAGAAAAGAATGTCCAAGTGTGATGTCATGCAAATAAAGAGATGTAAGAAAATGAAGTACCCTTCATAATCTATACCAAAGTCCGTTTTCTATATTTATATGCGTATTGTATGGTGACAAATCGATACATTGCTCCTATTTGAGTAAACAGGATACAAAATAAACTCTCGTTTTGGAGTGTTTTGGAGTGTGTTTTTGAAACTTGAAATCAATCATTTTGGTAATATCTTTAAGAATGTAAAATTGGGTAGATTTAACACTTAACTTAAAGTTCATATTAACAGAATCGAAGAAAATATGAGGTACATAGAAATACATGCATAGCCATATGTAAATACGTGTATATTTCAAAACAAACATTTATAAATTTCATTTAAAAATGCTGCTATGTTTATAGTTATGCTTTATGTAGCAAGGATATCAATTTCTTTTGATAGCGTCGTACACATTATCTCCTTTATTCCGTGAAAAGTTATCCAGATCTGTATACTGTGTTTTACTTGGATCTTCTTCAAAAGTAGCTTTTTTTTCAATGTGGCGTTGTAAACATTCTTGTCCGCCCTGGTCGTTTGAAGCACTGGCCACATTGACGTAAGATCTGGAAAACAAAGGATAAATAAACGCTTTACAGCACGCGGACATATATAAGGTAGTGTACATAAAATGGATACAACTAAAAATGAATATAAAATCAATAATTTCAAAAGGTGCCAATTTTTAGAGTATAGGACTAGTTTATGATTAATTTATTGAAGATGCATTTTACAGAAGACAAAAACTATATCTCTTTATCATTATCGTGATAATGTTTGTGTCTATGCGCGTTAAATGTATCTCACATAGGAATATAAAGACAGGTATTTATCGTTGTAAATTTGGTTATCACATGAAACATTACGGCTCTTGACCAAATCGGAAATCTTATGCTTCGATGATTATTCTTCAATTTGATATTTAAACAAATATCTTGTTTTACATGGTATAGTAACTGACAACATAAGCATGATATGACACACATAATTCTCATACAAAAACTTACGTTTGTCCTTGTAATTGAATGCCCCTTTCTATGCCTTTAAAACAAATAATTTATTTTTCGTTACAATGTTAAGCTATAGTGGTTATTAAGACTATGCTGACTAATTGTTAAAAAGTTAGTTTTCATTCAAAAAATTACGTAATTATCATATACAGTATGAACCATTGTAAACAATAATTATGACCCAGAAATATGACAACAAACAATATAAACAAGAGGGCCAAGATGGCCCTATATCGCTCACCTGACCCATCGAACAATTACCTATACAAGCATTCTGACCAATTTTCATGACAGGTGAGTCAAAAATGTGACTACTAGAGTATTAACAAGGATGACCATATTCGAAATTGACCTAGAAATCATCAAAACAAACTTTCAGCCCAATTTCCACGATACTTGGATCAAAACAGTAGCCACTAGAGTGTTAACAAGATTTTTCTATTTTAAGCTCCTGTTACCTAGTTTTTCAGGAGAGATGACCCATGTTCGAACTCATCCGAGCAATTACCTAGACAAGCATCCTGACAAAGTTTGATGATAATTGAGCCAAAAATGATACCACTAGAGCGTTAACAAGATGTTTCCATATTTGGGCAGTGTGACCTAGGTTTTGACCCCTGGTAACCCATATTCGTACTTGATATAGAAATCATCAAACCAAACTTTCAGACCAATTTACAGGATAGTTGGATCAAAACAGTAGCCACTAGGGTGTTAACAAGATTTTTCTGTTTTTAGCTTCTGTGACCTAGGTTTTCATCCGTGATGACCCATGTTCGAACTCAGCCAAGCAATTACCTAGACAAGTATCCTGACTAAGTTTGATGACAATTGAGTCGAAAATGTGACCACTAGAGTGTTAAAAAGGTTTTTCTATTTTAAGCTCATGTGACCTTGTTTTTCATATGAGATCAAGCATGTTCGAACTCATCCGTGCTATTACTTAGATAAGCATTTTGACAAAGTTTGATGATGATTGAGGCAAAAATGTGACCGCTAGAGTGTAAAAGAACAAGTGTGGACGGACGACGGAAATTTAACGATCCTAAAAGCTCACCCTGAGCTAGCTCAGCTAAAAGCAGTTCAAATGTTTTACAAAATGCGGAGATACTGTTTATTAAACTAAGTTTACATCCAAAAGAAAATTTCGTCATGTGTAAATGTGGAACAGCTGGTATTCACTACAAACAAACACATTGTTTCACTTTTTGATATTTGTATCTGTATTACATTTGAATTGACTTTTTGCCTCTTTATAATTTCTGTTCCCGTTCATAACGTTTTCAAATAACAATTTCACAACAGTTATTTCAATACATTTCCTATCTGTTACAGTTCCATATTCTGCTAAAAAATGAGAGTAGGTATGTTAAATTTTCATTTAATCGGTGATATAAAAAAATTCTTGCATTTTTTTATTTTTTTGTTTTGCTCAAATAATTATTTCTGAAAATTTCAATGTTTATTTACCCAACATTTTTCATTACAGTGTTTCATAAATCATCTGAAAAGCATGAAGAAAAATTAAAGTATTTCAAACTGAAATGTTGTTTTGAAATAAATTACTTTAAATTTTGTAGTTTTGCTCAAATTTATTTGTTATATATTTTGCTTACCTATATCTTTCATGGTCATTGTGGTACTTTGATTCTTACAGGAGGAGACATTCCGTTTCCATAGAATTGTTACTGATGCTGCGTAAATTGTAAGGATAAAACAGATGGTTCCTAAAACTATCCCAATTGTGAGTATGTCACAACTTGTACAGTCTTCATATCTGACCTTTGTAGAAGCTAGTCCTAAAATGAAAAAAAAAACTTGCCATTTGTCAGCGGATAAGAAGCACTGAAAGAACATCATCCTAAATATTAATTCAATTTCATTGATCTATATCTTTTTGGTGCTCTCCTTTATCTGTTTTGTCATCTGACATGCGTGCAATTCCTGAACTTTTTTACAAAAATAAAATTAAAACATTTTGTAAACTGAGACAAAACATTGTTTTAGGTTGACACCCTCTGTTGCCTAGCTATGATCTTCATTGACATATCATCAGTATGTCTATATCATTAAAATAATTGACAAACATCTTATCAATGCTAATGATTTATTTGAAAATTTGTACGAGTCAGTTAAATAAAATATGTTCATAAATAATGTTGAGATAATCTAGATCTACGTCAACACTCTTCAGATATGTTTTTCTTTAGATATTTTAAGCAAATACACTGTATGAAGCAACAGTATCTATTTGTATCGTCTGATTGATTAAGAGGTAAAATTCTCTGATACGCTTATTGTCAAGAGTGATAAAAAAGACTTCAGGTATAAAGCAATTAGTATATTTCAGTAACTTACCATGCCTTAGAAGATAAAAATATTGATTGTAAGACCCAAAGTCGTTCTCCGAAGTCACACGATATTGACCATAGTCATTCTCAGAAACGTTTAATATTGTGAGATTGGTCTTTAAACCGGACGATGAAATTTGAAAATCTTCATTTGTTAAAATTTGTAACCATCTTGTTTCTCTTTGCTTGTACCAAGTAAATCCTTTCGGACCAGGCGCAGGATACGCTAGTGCTTCAAATGTCAATGTAACAGGTGCATCTAGTACACTTGTGATATTTTCTCGAATCTTCCGGACAGGGCGTGGTGAACCTATAATATTAAAATGAAATTGTTCCATTACTAGTCTTTTTACATTAATAATTGTGTATTACGTATTTATCAAATGATTGAGGCAAATGTATTAAATTATGAGTGAGAATGCAGTCAAACTTTCAAATGTTATAAAAATGTCTAGTTCCAGACTTGTTTGCATAAATATTTTGTTTCATTCAAGACATTCAACTATTCAATAATAACACAAACAATGTTCAAGGCCCTGAAACTTTTCGGTGTTAACCAATTGCAAATTGCATATTTGTAGCCAAGATAATGATTAGAAATTGTGAATTTGTAAATATTTTTCAAGTTAAATGCGAAAACATTTCAAGAAACATCTGACCATGACCAAATTAGCACTTGGCTTGTATTTTCTTGAAAAATACCAGCATGTGCAATGTTAGCCTTCCCGGAGCATACATTGCTACAAAAATTGCTAAAAAAGAGCAAAAACTGAAAATATCTATTTTTTTCTCAGTGACGGAACAGGGTAACACTATATGTCTCAGCCTTTATATGGCGGGAGGGCATAAAATAAGTATATGACTGCAATTGATAAAATTGTACCTACAGAGAAGTGTTTGTATAACATTATTCTAAATTATCAATTGCATAAGAATAAGATCGAAATATATACTGCTGCAAAAAGAAAAGAATCTGTGCACTTGGTTTTTGCTATTATTTCAGGTTATTCTGATTAAAGCAGCACGCCTCCAGATTGATATTAATTTTCATTAAAATTTGAAAATGTATTTAAAAGTATAACATTGTTGAGTTACAAAAAGAATGCAATTTACACATTATCAATGGCACTTTCAACCCATGTCAATTACCATAAAGAGGTCAAAATATGCAGGAATAGCCCTTACTGCGTTAGTAACGCAACGTGCTCATCTGGAGGCGTGCAGCTTTAAAGCCTTTAAATAGTTGGAAAACCGAAATCATCCACAACATGATGCGTTGTGTTCTGTAAAAATCAGAGATAAACGTCGCAATGTGTATGTGTTTATTTTTTAAATTGTCAATTTTCTGCAAATCTCTTGGTAATTCTTATTGAAAATGTGATTAAAATTTCTTAAATACCGTTTATGTACACCTTTGCTTTGAACCAAAACAATAATTCTCCACGGGATCGACATGACGTTACGTAAAATGACGAAAATTGGAAGAGCATTCCATTATTGGACAAAGGCAAGTTTAAGGTCACGAAAAAAACGTGATTTCCTCTTGCCCTCTGTCCAAGGAGTTCCCGTGTGTGCTTAATGGGCTTCATGTTAAGTGACCAAGCCGGTCATGAAAGCAGTTAACGTTTTTGCCCTGCGAGGTAATTTTTCGAAAACCTAGGTGTATGTGGCCTGACATAATCGTTCATCAGCAAAATGTGATAAAAAGGCAGAAACGGACGACCACTGGACGAAGAACATTGTCAATATAACTTTTTGCATTCAGATAACCAGGATTGATTGACAGCTAAATGTTTTGTCAACCATTATTACGCCACAAACCATTTCCAAGAAATTATCTGCAAAACGCTAACCTCAACTTTGACAAACGCATACTCTACTATCTAACGTTCCTCATTGCTAAACAAAACTCTTGCAACCACTGGCTACGAGTCCAGCGTAAATGACGTTGAGTCTTCGAAAATGATGTTTAAGTGACAAATAAGCTGGCCTAAGTTTGGTGCCTGCTCCCGATTGGGTTTGCAGTCTAGTTAAATTGATTCAGAACGGTTTGTCTATATATGCAAATATCTGTTTCGCGATATAAATAGTGGTTTAAAACTTCCTACGTAGATGCGTTTACTTCAAGATTGCTAAACACGCTGTCATATATTAATAACTGTGTGTTGCGATGGCAGTTTAACTGTCTTGCAACGTAAGTGACGCTTTTCCCCGACGTGGAATCACAAGAGATTGAATTGTATTGAATTGTATTTCTCGAAGCCGTAGTATCTTGTTAACGAGTCAAATTCAATCTAAAATGTGATGCTTCAGTGACAAATTAAACATGAAAAACGAATCGCGTGATAGATGTGCAACTGTAAAATTTTCTATAACAGAGTTCAAGCATCTTATCCGATCAAATATCCGATAACATGTCTGCCAATTTAGTGCAACCTATAGGCAAGAGCGCTAATAATCAGATGGAAAACAATTACCCAGTTATTCCGAGTAATCACGAAAATATAACTGCACAGTTTCTTTTTTTCCATCAGTACATTTCACAAAGAAATGTTAAGAAAGGGTTTTTGAACCTCAAAGTAATATACTGTTTGAGTGAGTGATACATACATTCTACTTTTAAATATATTGCATATCAAATCAATTGGCATCAAATAGTGGCGTTATCAAACTCTCGAAGAATGCAATCTAAAATATATGGAGATATTCATTACACAAATTACGCAATTTCATTATTATACATATTGACCTTAGGAATTTTTTTCACGAACGGAAAATAAAACTGTTTTCAATCATTTGATTTCAACTTACATCTAACAAACATTGATATACTTTTGCTTGATATATCCATGTTCCTACTTTTAGCTTCACATTCAAATGCACCGCTATCATAACAATTCACTGCATTGTGGATAAATTTCAACGAGCTTGCATTTTGTTCCTCTTTTAAGATTTGTCCATGATGAGTTATTTTGATGTTTTCAGCAGGATCCCCACTGACTGTACATGTAAATATTAAGCCAACTTCCAGCTCGTCCACGGTAACAACTGTCGTATTGATATGACTTCCAATATAGAACTGTTTCACAAATGTACGCTCTAAAAGGGAATGATCGCAATCTATATTCTTAATATATAACATCTATCGTACATTGGTATGTATGTACATCATTATAACATCTAACAAACTTTACAAATATTATGCGCCATTGTTCTTGTCGTCTTATCGTATAACGTAGTAAATATGGAAAATGTTAAAGCTAAATGAGATATTTTAGAGGAATAAATCATTATGAATAAATAACCTTTGTTGAAATATCAAGGAAAACAAGACTTAATATATTTACCTTTAACACTAATTCTGATGGAAATATCTGCAGATTTTAAATAACTCGAAGAATCATTATTTTTAGCTTCGCATTTATAATCTCCTGTCATATACTTGTTTACCGTTCCGATATACATTTCAGCACCTATTGTATTCATCATTAAACCACTTGTAACATTAACCCATTTGTAGGAGCATCCAGGATAACATTCTGCCTTACATTGTATAATCAGAGATTTTCCTTCTAACACATCGTATGGTGATGTTACGTTTAGGCTGACTGTATTTGGCCCATCTAAAGGAAGGCAATTTTTTTTAAAAAAACTTTACTATTGTTGCCCCTATAATACCTTATAAATACCACATTAACAAGTAAAAATACGATGTTAAGTATTAAAACAAGAGGGCCATGATGTCCCTGAGTCGTTGTAAATTATCCATTGTCAATATATTTAATTTGAGCATAGAATACGTTCAAACAATAATTTGAAGAAATGCCATGACCTGGGAACTTTTAGCTTTAGCTTAAACGGGGCCAATCAAATTAATATTAGCTAACTAAATAAAAGACTACTCAAGAATGCTACAACGTTAAGTGATCATCTTTCAATTATTTTAGTAAGAAATGATGTTCGAAGGTTTTTCCATTTTTTTTCTATTTTTAGTTTTAGTGGCCCCTAAAAGGGACGAATCAAATTGATATTAGCAAACTTGATAAAAGCGTACCTCCTAAGATTAGGAGGTGCTACGTTTCTTACTGAATCCACTCTGTTCAGCAATAAGCTTATCATTAGTTTCAGCCAAATCTGACAGTATATTAATGATAACATTATAATGTAGTCTATACATGACACAAGCTAATGCTATACTCTGAATGGGAGCGGGTCCAGTGGATACGCAGTAAATGTTTTGGAAAAAAAAGATTTACCACGATTTTCCACAAATATATAGTACAAAACCCTTATCAAAGGATATATTGAACAAAACATTATGGAATTGAAGAGACATTTTTTAAATTTCGGCTAGAAATGTACTAACACCTTTCAAAGTTGTACGCTCTTAACAGCTTTCTTATCCTCTTATGTTGACACTCGAGATTATATCATAGAAGGATAACTAGTAATTGTATCATGTTACATCTCTGAAACATTACAATCACAAGAGCAAGAACAGCCTCCATTGGTATTCATCTTAATCTGGACTGGTTTATACCAATACTGCCAATAAACATCCAAAATTAATCGCTATTTATATGTTACGTAGAATTTATAAACTCCTAATAAGGGCTTTTTATTTCCTAGGTAGGAGTTATAAAGTCAAACGTAGGGGTTATTAAGTCCTGCGTAGGAGTAATAAAGTCATACGAAAGAGTAATTGAGTCGTATGTATGAGTTATAATATCCTAATTAATCTTTTTTATCTCCTACGTAGGAGTTAACAAGTCCTACATAGGAGTCATAAAGTCCTACGTAGGAGTTATAAACTCCTAATTAGTTTTTTTACGCAGGAGTTATAAAACCCTACTTAAGAGTTATTAAAATGGAGAAAATGAGAATCCCTAAAGAAAGCCCAATACGGCAAAATTGAACATTTTGCAGGCTCGGTTTGATTGGGCCTACTCATGGACGGTACTGTCAAGTGCAAACTATCGTACACGCCCCCTAGCACCGGCTTAAGCAGAATTCAACATTTAAACATGAAATGGTAAGATTTTGAATTAAGATTCATCCGCAGATGTATTCATACGGCCGTCAAATTGGAACCTTCACTGTGACACTTTAGTGCCATTCCATTAAAAAGCGGCGTATGGTCCCCAAATAATAGAAAGAGAGTGCCCTAAAAGAAAACAAACAACACTGGTTGGAACTGAAAAAATAGACCTTTGAACGGGGATCAGAGGTTATGAAGCCTGTATATCACAGATAAGACTCCAAAAGACAAAGTTAAAAAGCAGGCAGCATACACTAAGAGTGATTCAACATTATGCAAGTAGGGTAATTGAAACCAACCAGCTAGAAAATGCCAAATAGTTAAAACTTAAAATAGTAAGTTTATTATCCATTAAAGTGTATAAAACTTTATCTAAGAAAGTGTCATGGTGCCAATTTATAATGTGCTATAAAAAGGATAACATCTACGTAGGAGACAAAACGCCTTATTAGGGTATATTCCTCTTACGTATGACCTTATTACTTCTGAGTATAACTTATGACTTGCTAGGGCTGTCGACGGTAGTTTTTACTTGACAGGGATTCTTTCATGTTTTCTATATTTTATCGCCACATAAGCGTTGTTTGTGCCGTGTGGAGGCTGTAAAAAAGTCGCCCCGTTCATTCAATCAAAGATGTTATATTTCCGATCCTTACAGATCGTTCAGCACGACATTATTGTTGTGCTTATGATCATTTAGTTCTTTCTTTTCAGCTATTTTCTTGTTGGGTGGTTCCATTATTCCTCACTTGAATACTGTAGAATCACCCTAAGGATATGTGGCCTGCTTTTTAAATTTGTATTTTGACGCCTTATCTGTGATATGCAGGCTTCATAACCTCTGATCCCCTTTCAAAATTCCTTTTATTTAGTTCCGCCTATTGTTTTCTGGTTTAGGGCACACGCATTTGTTTTTTTACTTGGGGACCGTTTGCCGCTTTTCATGGAATGGCAATTACGTGCCACATTGAATATGGGCTTTCTTTAGGGATTATTTTTTTCTATATTTTGTCCATTGTGTCATTTTGGCCAAGTCTTCATCACATCAATAGACGTATAACAAGGTTATCTCATCTCAATCTAAGCAAAATTCAATTTTTTTTCTTGACGGTAAATAAAAACCAATTTAAGGTCACATTCAAACTTTAAAAAATCAACATGTTGGTTTTGTCAAACGTTCAGCAATATCTTTGAAAGGTCATGGTCAGTTTTACTCTAACCGTCTCGTCATATGGATTATTAACTCCCAGTATGATGATAAACAATTATTGAAGAAGCAATGAAGATACAATAGTTTGTGCTTAAAGGTGAATGCCCTGTAAGTGTCAAGGTCAAGATCAGTGTTGAGTTCTTGAGGTTTTTGTTCTAAACATTTTAAGTTCCCAGTTTGAAAACAGTTATAAAAAAATAATAGTTATATAGCAATGGCTGAGGGAAATGATAATATTTTGTTTGAAATTTAAAGGTAAGCCGCCATTAATTTCATAAATTTTAAAATCTGTTCATCAGAATAATCTTAATTAAGGTTAATTTTCCTGAATCAATATTAAAAATACCGGTATTGCCCTCATTGCTATCCGTTATGCATGAGACCTCAAAACCTGACGTAACTATGCAAAATATTAATAGGTAGAGATAACGGTATATCATAGGCTTTCCGATACAATCACTATGTATTATCATGTTCATGTTAAATAATGGGCCTATTATTCAATCATTTATTTGTTTTCTTTTAGTTCCTTATCAGTTACTAATTCTTAATGATTTTAGTGGTTAGCCTGCCCATGCTCTGCCTTGTGGCCTGTCCTGTTTTTGTTTGGAGTCCTCCTGGGCTCCTTGCCACTGGCTCTTGTTACTGGGTCGGGTGGGTGTTGCGTTGAAGGCCGCCTTTCCTTGTTAATCTTGTTTATCATATTTTATCGGAAATGATGACGATCTCTATAATCCTAGCCCTTTTGCAGTATTTATAGTATGTGTGCATCAGATATACTTACAATAGACATCAAATGTAAATTGGTCACTTCCTTTTGATATGTACTATTAATGACAAAACACATTCTGACTAATATATAAGATAAACTACTATAAACTTGAAACGAAAGAATGTATCACTTCATTGTGTTGTATAAAATAAGTGACATAAGATAAACTTACAATAAACATCAAATGAGAATGTATCACGTTTGCTTGTTGTACAGTATAAGTGACATAAGATAAACTTACAATAAACATCAATTGAGAACGTATTACGTTTGCTTGTTGTAAAGTATAAGTGACATAAGATAAACTTACAATAAACATCAAATGAGAACGTATCACGTTTGCTTGTTGTAAAGTATAAGTGACATAAGATAAACTTACAATAAACATGAAATGAGAACGTATCACGTTTGCTTGTTGTAAATTAAAAGTGACATAAGATTAACTTTCAATAAACATCAAAAGAGAATGTATCACTTCTGTTTGTTGTATAGTATAAGTGACATAAGATATACTTACAATAAACATCAAATGATAATGTATCACTTCTACTTGATGTATATCCACCAGTGACATCTTCTGTAGCTGTACATGTAAACTGTTTATTGTCATCCTCCTTTACAATGTTGTTTACAGTAAGTTTATTCTTATTAGAAGTGTATGAATATTTGGCGCCACCTGGATTGTCTGTGGTGTCAACTCTCCAGGTATATGTCAGACTGAGGCTGTGGTTACTTGGTGTGGTTGTTGATTTACTGCTACATGTTAATGTTACACTCTCTCCTACTGATGGTGTTTTATTTAGTGTTTTATTTACTGTAACTGTGGGCTTTCTTGGTGTTCCTGAAATTAATATGGTTTGACTTAATACATGATAGCACCGATTTTGTTTTATACTGGTAAAAAATAGTACACTACTCGATTTACTTAATTCGTTGTTTAAGTAATATAACTATACATAACATTTACTTGTTTAGAGGTAAAATTGAACAACTTACACGGCTTTAGGAGATATGAACAAATGGAAGAAATAGAATAAAAAGGCATATCTATGTTGAAAAGGAAAAGGCTACTCGATGAAAAGTAAAATAAAATTGTCTAAGGATTATCAGCTATGAAAATATCTTTTCTTTAGGTTTCGTAGCATTAACCTGTCTTTGTAATGAAATTATTGAACATGGTAGTTTTGTGATATTCTATGCACCATGAATTATTCCAGAATGATTCTTTAAAGCCGCTGACCTCCAGATGGTAAAATGAATAATATGAAATAATATTTCAAGTAAACGGTAAATACTGATCTAGTTAGGTTTAATGTGTTAATTTATTGTTACTGATATCTTAATTCAAGAAAGAATGATGACAACAGTGTCAATATATTGTGTTTTTCCTTTGCATAATCTACTACGTCACTAACGCAGTAGCCAATATAAAAAGAAGATAATTCATTTAACATGGTCACATGTCACAACAATGAGCCGGAAAAATCCTGGTACTAGTATCCGGTATGCCCGAGATCGTTTAACAATTTTCGGCATTGACTAGGCTCCTATCATATTTCAAGCAAAAGTTTAAATCGATAAGTTTGTCATTAAATATATGCTATCACAAATAAATTAAAAATTTTATTGCCAAAAATAACTAAAATATCAAAACGAAAGCAGTTATTTGTTTCCCTCTAAGTTTGATACGATCCTATAGTCCATGAGTTCCGGACCACAGGTTATGATATCAGGTGGTACAAGAAACAGGATGAAAGAATTCTGTTGTATATTAAAAGAAGGTATTTCCTGTTGACAGGTAAGCTTCAGAGCAATAATGTTAAAATATGAACATTTGAAGTGTCATGTCGATGGCTTTCAACTATATTATAATTTAAAGAGGGAGTTTGAAATATTTATAA